CCAGAGGCACCATACTGAGAGGGTGGCTGCTCTTGGAAGGTGACCCACACCAAAGGAGGGATCCTTTGAGGGATGGTGGTCACAGGCACCTCACACCAGGGGGGAAAACTGATCCAAGGAACAGTGACTGTGGGCATACTGAGTTGGAAACATAAAGACATGGAGTGGCACTGGAAAAACAGTAAGAAGGAAAGAGCAGCAGGTGGGACTGTTACCATGCAACCCCAACCACCTGGTGCCTCATTCGCTGCCTCAGCAGGGCTGTGGGATGTGCTGACTGTAACTGGTCTTTGACCCATGAGAAGCTGAAATTACAAAGAGGAGAGCTGTTCCTGGAGGTGTTTATGCTTTCCCACCCACCCCCCAGCCTTCAGATGAGCAATCCTAAGTTGGTGTTAACTGGCAATAAATTACAGTCGGAAAAAATACCCAACTTCCTAGGGTGTTCTGCCTATGAGAGGCCTGTGACCACCCCCCCACCCTGGGAGTATCCCTTTGGGCCCACTGACCTGCCAAGGGGGAGGGCAACTTACAGGCTGGTGTAAAGATCCAGTGGTGTCAGCCATTAGTGGTTGATTGACAACATTAGAGAGGTCAGGAGACAGTCCATTTGCTATGGATTCCTTTGACAGGGTTTTGCCAGCGTATGAACTTTTAGCAGATAAGTAAATTACATGGAATGTGGAATTTCTTGGAACCATAGTGCTGTTGGGTTAGTCGTGTTGCCTGCAATATGGTTAGACAGGCGTGAGCCAGCTAACATCAAAGCAGCCAGATGAACTTGTCATTTAGGAACAGGCACTAATGAAGTGTGAGCTGCAACCATATGTGGAACAAACATCTTTATGGTGTCAGTCGTGACTTTCTTGTTGAGCTGAACACTGTGAGGCACTGTCTGCTCTGGAGGAGGCACATGGAGAGGGCTTGGCTGGGTAAGCTGTTAGAGCAAAGGAAGTTGGGGTTACTGCTCAAGTTTTAGGCAACATGGGATTTCTGATAGCGTTGCAAGAGAAAGGTTGGGTTTTGTTTCAGCCGGTACTTACAGCCTCAGGCATAAGGAGTCAACTTGCATTTCTGTGTCCATAAATTTTTGTGACAGTGTGCCTTAGCTGACTATTTAGAGTTGTACTGCCTACCTTAATAAAYTTTGGGATACATTTATCTACTATCTATCTAATCACTTGTATCTTTCACAATGCACTGATGTTTCTTTTCGGTATTATACCCTTTGCAGGTATAAAGTAAGATATATAATCTTGTTCACATGGCCTTGGGCTCATGGAACCGTAAAGGTGGCTTTAAGTGCCAGATGGGCGAAGAAACATGGCTTGAACTGGGAAAAGAGCAGCATTTACTCTTTTTGTAGGTTTTATCTACTTTGGTTTACTTTCATTTTATTAAATGTACACACATATGCTGGCAGCTCCAGAGTTTTCTTTAGGGCATATAATAAATTCATTTGGATAAAAATGGGAGGAAGTAAGAGCTAGTAGTAAAGTTGCATGTGCACTTTACTTCATTGACTGTCTTCCACKTAAATGAAACATGAATGAGAAATGCTGTCGTACAAGATATGATTTTTAGGTACTCTTTAAAGCTTCCCAGAATGTCAGGAGTTCAGAAATCTTCTGACATACGCCATTCCTACATTCACCTGACATTGACTCAAGTGAGATACAGGCATTCAGGCATTATTGGTAGGGGCAAATGAAGAAACTAGAAACATGAGCCTTTTTTCCGGTAAACAGTTGTGTGTCTTGGTTTGAAAGACAGGTGTTTGCCAATGAAGGCAGGGACCCCTATTGGAGTGGTGGATATGACCTCCCTTCCCTTYGAATTATTATAGCTTTGAAAAATCACGGGCTTTCAGGCAAGAATATGGGTAAAAGGGAATAACAGTTTTTACTAATATGTATAATAAGGTGAAACAAGTAACAATAACAATAGCAACAACCAGCCCAGTCCTAAACTCAGTGACAGCCTTACACAGAAATACACCCTCCCCTTTGGTGCAGTTACAGTCCCAGTTRGCAGGGGCGCTGTTGGCTCCCGGCCGGGCAGGGCGGGTGCGATGATTCTCCTGTGGCTGCAGGGGGCACGGTGGCATGGCTCCTGGATGGCTCAGATTTCCCACAGCATCAGTGATGGACACAAAATGGCAGAGGTGGATGGAGAAAAGTTTCTCTGCAAAACTTACAGCGGAAACGCTGATTTCGTTGCTCTTCTGGACAGCAAGAAACCCAGGATGGCAAAGAGACGAGCACAATTCTGCAGCTGCAAGACAGGATGGAGCAGAGCTTACCCCTGAAGCTGGAATCGCAGAGGTTCCYGGCAAGSTATAGGAGAGAAAACCACCGTGGCAGCAAGCAGGAACTCAATGAATTGAGATGCTGGTCTCCGCAGAAAAAGGGCAGGCCAGCTTTCTCCGGAGCAGCCAGTGGGCAGACTTCCTTCTCTCAGTGAAGCAGCCAAGCAAGTGAAATTACCACCCCCCCCCCCCCCCCATACAAAAATACTCTTTCCGAGGGCTTGGCAAGACCGTTTAGGTGGGGGCATAGGTATCATTGTCTTCGTTAATCACCCAGCCATCAAGAGGATGACCTGGCAATTAGTGTATTCCAGCAACAAATGGGAAGGAAAAAATTCCTAAAGAAAGGGAACAAAAGGGGGAAAATCTTAGCCCACAACATTGTGTTATGACTCACATGGTAATAGTGATATCACTGCAATTACGTGTTGATGTGTGACGTGTGTAACTTTTTTAGATGATCCTGAATTTTCTCCTCAAATGTAGCAGGTACTTGCAGAGAGGAAGTCAGTTGGCCAAACTTTGCTCAGCTTGGCAATCAGAAACTTTAGAAATAGGATGGCCACAGAGGGGCATTGATGTCAGAGCATTTCCTCAGTTGAAAGCAACACTTGTCCTTTACCCCTAAGGGGATAAGGGAAATTGTTAAAGAAAAATAAATAATGAAAAATTGAAAAACAAGGCCACATGGTGTGCAGGGAGTGGACTTAATTGGCTGTACTGAGAAATCATCAAGACAAGTCCCTTCTTTTCATTTGACTCACTCCAGACAGTCTTTCTCGTGTTTTCACTTGCCTGTGTGTTTGGTAGATTAAATGACATGTTTCGTGTTGCTGTAGAAGTATGCCTGAACATAGGAAGTAAAGTTTTTGGTTGATCGCATTTTTTTTCCTAGTACAAGGTCTCCAGGGGATCATCCAATAAAAACTGGAAAGTACAACTATTAGAAATAAATGGAGAGCGCTTGTAATCAAATCAAGCTCACATGTAATTATAAAACCCACACAGAGATGGAAAACCAAAGCCAATTAGCAAATGGTATCATTTGCCTCTTTGGGATCTTTGCTTACAGTCTCCACTTTTTGTTAATAACAAAGATAACTCTAGATTTGATTGTCAGTAATCCTATACTATTTTGCCTTAAGGAATAAGATGCTTGATGCTTCTATGTGCCTGTTCAGAGACACAAGTTCTCCAAACCCTGGTGTGGTGGGTTAACCCAGCAGTTAAGCACCTACACAGCTGCTTGMTCATACCTCCTGCAGTGGGGTGGGGGACACAATAGGAAGAACAAACGCAAGAAAGTGCTTGGGTCAAGGTAAAGACAGTTTAAAAGTGAAGGAAAGAGGGTAGAGAGAAAGTGCTGTGCTCACCGTCCTTCATGATCACAGCAATGTCCAGTCAGACTCTGAGCAATGGCTGTGCTGGAAGATGTCCTATCTCCTACCCSTATCTCAGATTTTTATCTCTGAGCATGAAGATACACAGTATGGAATATCCCTTTGGCCAGTTTGTGCCAGCTGTCCTGCCTGTTTCCTCCCAAATCCTTGCCCACCTGCAGAGCGAAGAACAAGAAAGCTTTGGTGTTGTGCAAGCGCTGTTAAGTGGTAGCCAAAATCACTGATGTGTTAAGCAACACTGTTCTAGTCACAAACTCAGAGCACAGCAGGGCATTGTCCCCTGTGAAGAAAATGAACTCTATTTCAGCCAGAGCCTGTGCACCACATTTGGATAGAGCCTTTCAAAATGAAGCAGTCCTTTCTGAGTTAGATGAATGAGGTGCTGCAGATCCGATGGCTGATGAGGGTATTTCTGGCTATCTGAAGCAAGGTAAAATAAGGCTAAGTCTGGAAATGGGTGAAGTACCAAAATAAGAATCAAAGTTACATAAACCTTTACCTAAACTTAAGTTAAAAGTTTCACTGTTCTTTTTTTTTTTCCTCCCTCAAATGCTTAACAATTTTGTGGAAATACCTTACAAATGGGCTTTAATCAAGTATCATGACAATTAATAGACTTTCTGATACATTTCCAAGAATAAACTCCAAAGAGATGAGCTATTGTATGAGAACAGAGAAGAGGGAAGAACTCTTTCTCTATTGCTTAAAAATGAAAG